TTCAAAGGATGATTATAAGATTATAATAAAATTATAACAGTTATCATTGAAAATATGTAACCAAAAAAAATATTTAAATATAATTTTGTATCTAAAAGATAAAAAAAATATTTCTTCTTTTTAATATGGGGATAAAATATTTTCAAGATCTACTTTTTATAACATATTTCAATTTTTAATCAATAAATAATTTGATATGGGAAAAAATGATTTTTAAAAAGTGAAAGATCTTATTAATTTATATAATTTTAGATTAGAAAAATTAAAATAAATGTTAGGATAGAAAAATTATTTTTTATATGTATACTTACTAAAAAACCTTTCATCTAAATATTTTCAATATCTTACTAAAAAGGATATTCATAAATTAAATTAATATTTACAAAAATCCTAAGGTTAGACATGTCAAGTGTAGTACTTTGATGAGTATTATGATGATTGTCAAGTGTAGTATTTTGATGAATATTAGACATGTCAAGTGTAGTATTTTTGATGAGTATTATGATGATTGTCAAGTGAACAAAAACAAAGACAGTTTTAATAGTTGCAGTTGAAAAGTGACATATCTAAAAAAAATTATATAATATTTTGGTAGTTATAAAAATTTGAACACTATTTCACATTTATAAATCATAAACACAATCACGATAATTTATTATATCTTGGTTACGCAATAACTAATGTTTACCAATTTTTATATTGTAATATGATATTAGGTTAACTCATCTATAAAATATAGGGATAATTTGCTAAAAATACAACAAAAAAGTATAATTTAAAAAATAACCAAAAACCTCAAATCCAATGGTTTACATTTTGCCACATATTCCATTTTTTCTAACTTTTTAATTTTTTTTTTTTGTTATACACCAAAAAGACCCTAAAATATACACACATAAGGTATTGGGTAGATTTTTTTTTTTTTTGAGAAACTCGTTAAAGGATGGTTAGATTAGGGTAAAAAAAAGTATTGGGTAGATTAGGGGATTTGAAAAAAATCAAAAAATATATCGTCAAATCAGGATATTGGGTAGTTCATGATTGTTTCAAAAAAAAAGAAAATCAAGCGACCAAATTTAGTATCCGATTACAAGCACAAGCATGAAATATTAGAAGACCATATAAATGGCAGATCACTTCGGGGTGTTAGCAGCTAACCATCGTATTCGGAGTAGGAGTATCAAATGCGACACTATTGTCCACGATGTGGTTTTGAGGAAGAATATGTTATAACATCTGTAATGTATTACACTATTTTTTACACTGAAATTATATAACACCAAAATGATATTGAGTTTTACTCCAATCTATTACACTATATTTTACACTCACAAAAAAAAATATTCTAAGTATATTCATTTTTTTCAATCTTTGTTTATTTTTAATAATACACCATATTTTAAAAATGTCCGAATTGATTCTACCTGTTTTACTTATTGGATCCGCAAGCGATTTACCGAATTAATCTTAACACTTTATTTATAAAATCTG